GGTTTCGCCTGATGACGACCTAGGAGACTCCTCGGTTTAATTGATGTACCTCTCCAGCTGGATCTTGATCTCCGATATTAATAATCAGTTGTTGTCTTATTGTCATTAGTCATAACCATGATCATTAGTAGGGATAACCATAGGGATCTTTAATGTAGTTATTTCTTTGCTTATTTCTTCTACATGCCGTTGACTAGGTCCACGGTTCAGCCTAATTTCTTAACTTCAGGAGAAAAGACTGCTCTTCTCTGCATTCAAAGTGTTGCACACAAAAATAGGTGGATGATCGACTTTTGTGGTTTCCCGATTCCATCGCAGAATGATAGGGACCTTACATAGGAAGGTGACAGTTGGAACTGCCTCCAAAGTAATTAGAATACAATAAGAAACAAAAAAGAATCTATCTTGACAAATAACGTACTACTTTCTCCTCTTCTCCCGATCCTTCCAGTATATCGTCACCAACCCCAGCGCTAAACAACTTCCATATTCCAGTTCCAGAGAAAAAAACATATGACTTTGAAAAACCAGCCAATGTATGAACGGATATATCAATAAGAAAACAATCATGAAACCCACCAGCCTAATAAAGACAGCAGACTGTACTAAGAAGCTCTTTCCATTTGAGCTCGGCTGCGCATTCATCATCATCATCACCATCAGTAGCTCGACAATCCTTTCTGGGTCCTGGCTTGTTCTAAGATTTTTCGCCATTCTGTTCTGTTCCTTGCTTTGTTTTTACAGTTGGTAATCTTTAAGTGTTTTCAGAAATCTTGTTCCACTTGTTCCATGTATCTAAGTTTGGGTCTTCCCTTTGACCTTTTCTGGTTAAAAAGTCCAATAAAGGTAATACTTTTGGTACTAATAAAGTTGTCAATATGCCAATAAAGTTGCTAATATGTTCAATAAAATTCCCAATAAAATGGTGAATATTCCCAATAAAACCTAAGAGAATTTGTAAACCATAAAATGAGTCTAATAATAATTTTTGCCTTCTTATATAAAAATCAAAAAGAAGCAAAAAATAATTCCTCCACATTAGAAGAGTTGTTTTGACAGAAAGTGGGAGACTAAAATGAAGTTAGCACAGATGTCATAGGATGTTGCTATAGACATCATGAAACTAGCTTATCTGTCAACACGGAACACAAAGAGAGAGGGAAAATATTTATTCTACGTGACAGAAAGAGAGAGTAAATAATGACAGAGGAAGAAATAGAGGGCGCCAACTACTTTTTAAATAAAAAAAATAGTAAAAATTAAACCAAAGGTAAAGAAATTAATAAGGAAATTAAAATGAAATAATTATTTAAATATAAATTAATAGAGATGTGACGTTTATAACGTTACAAGCTAGAATATGTAAAACTTTTCACGCTTTCGATGTTATAGTCTCCTATTGTCAGATTTTGTAGGTTTCTTTGGCCTGTCGATTTACTGGCCTTCATATATTTGGTTTTTATACCGTTAATGTTTTGTGCCGCTCTTTCTATCGCATTAAATGCTTCTATCATCTCTCTTTCGCTTCTAGCTATGATATCAATATCATCTCTAAATGCAAATATTTGTACACTTCTTGTTATTATTGTTCCTCTGGTGTTGACTTTTGACTCCCTAATTATTTTCTCTAATGTGATGTTGAATAGAATACAGGATAGGGCATCTCCCTGTCGTAGGTCCGTTCTCACATGAATTGTATCTGTTAGTACGTTTTGAAATCGAATTTTGCTTTGTACTTTAAGTGTTTCTTTTACTATATCAATGAATTGAGTTGGAATATTAACCTTCCGTTACTCGCGCCAATTTTCTCGATCGAATACTCGCGCACGGTGCAGAAGACCGGGTCCGCAAAAATGGGGTCAGTAATATTTTTTAATTTTCTTTTTTTGAAAATTGTGCACAATTATATTATTTAATGAATATATGATCATATAATTTTGTAGATATGCGTTTGTTTCAACATTATATTAGTTTAATGAAAAGTTAACTAATTTTCATCGTTATCCATTTATATATACAAAAAACTTTAAAAATTAAAAAAATACATTGAATATTGTTAAATTTGTTTACTAGGAACTTCAAGAACTTAATTCAATATACAAAAAAAAATCAAAAATGAAGAGTAATTGCAAAAAAAAAATAAGAAATATTAATTAAAATTTTCATAACATAAATTACACAATGATGTAACATGTTCCAAACACAGATATTTTGTGCATATTTGGCAGTAATATTTTATTTTTCTATTTTTCTGTCAATGACAAACAGCACAGCGACCCTGAGTTCCAGGTGTTATGACTGGTACTTGTTCCGCTGGTAAGCCACATATCTCCCTAAGCCTCATTCTGATGGTTCTGGGTAAACTGGTAGACATAGCCCGTACTTTTTGGTAGTCACTGGTTAGTAACATCGAGAGTTTTAGTAAAAATTCTTTACGTGGTGTTTTAGATTCTTCATCTAGACTAGTATAAACTACAAAAAAATTTATTCCTGCTACATTCAACAAACTAAAAAAAGGAACCATGGGCCATCGTCTTGTGGCACGGGCGCAATTATATTGCGCGCATAATTTATCTACCACATCTACTCCGCTCTGCGTTTCATTATATATAATTATCATCTCAGGTTTACCTGTGGTAGGGTCAATATCATCTCCATGGTGCATTGTAGAGATAAGTAGGACGTTTCGATTTTTTTTGGCATATGCGAAACCAAGGTGATTCCGTCATTAAATCCAAACATTGAAGAGCCAATGCACCTGCCGTTATTTTGTATAAATTCTAATGGCAACTGTTTTTTATTTTTTCGAATAGTACCCACTAAAGTTAATTTTTTTGATTTAAGGCTATCATCTAGAGGCACACTACAAAACCAATTATCTACAGTAACATTCTTATTACTCCCATAAATGTGTGCACCAAGTCTTTCTACCACGTCTTGCGTCGCTGTACTAACTTGAAAAGGGCCATTTGGTTGTTTTCCGACGTAAACTTCTAAGTGGCTGGTATAGAATTGTTTTGCATCGGAAATGGCAAAAATTTTTATACCATATTTATTCGGCTTGCTAGGAATATATTGTCTGAAACTACAATTTCCTCTAAAAGCTTCTAGTTTCTCATCTATGGTAACATAACCAGAATGAGAATAACATTCTTTAATGTTGCTGTTAAATTTTTCTAACAATGTTCGTATTGGAGCCAGTTTATCTACCTGTATTCTTTCATGTCTCGTGTGAATGTTATCAAATCGCAGACATTGCAAAAGAAATTGAAATCGAGGCTTACTCATTACAAGTCGAAAAGTTTCAATGCCAGTGGCATCTGTTCTCCAGAGATCCTCTAAATTAATGAGATTTGCTTTTCTAATACCAGCAAGATAAAGGAGACCAATTAGGGCTTTGATTTCGACAATGTCAGTAGGTATCGCATCTTTTTGTCTACTGTAGTCATCTGTAACACTCTGAATTTTTATATCTGCTATCATAGGCACTCTCAAAGTCAATGAAAAGGTGATGTGTGTATATTAAATTCACTAGTCTTTTCCAAGATTTGCCTCAAGACGAAGATCTGATCTATTGTGGACTTCTACCTGCGGAAACCACATTGATATCCCTTAACTATTTGTTCCGCATATGGTCCCAATTATTCATACATTTCTCGACCGCGCACTGCTTATAATAATATTAGAAGTAGCCGCAAGACGAAACGAGAAGAAAAATAATTCCACACCACTGCCTATGTATCTCGAAAATGAATTTAAAATAAATTTCTTTGTTTAAGTAAATATTTTGTTTTGTATAGGCTATTCCACGAATATACGACTGTTTTGGTTTACTGCGACAACGAATATTTTACTGTGCAAGTAGAAGTATGAAGGTCAATTGGTCTAATCATTATTCCAATAAAAAGGGTCTACTACTAAACTAAAATTATTTCAGTTAAAATCTACAAATAAATACAATGACGTCTATGAAGCCAAATGTGTTCATTAGACATTTGAGTAAGCTTTCCGTGAAATGTAAACACCAAAGAGGCGTGCCGGGTTTCTTTGATGTAACACATTTTATTTCTTTATTGGGTATTATAACTGTAATAAAAAGAAATATACTATTTTTAATATAAATGAAAAGAAATTGGCAGAACGATCGTTCAGAAACCAGAAAAAGGATCTAATATTTCACTTTGTTAGTTTTAAATATTTGCTTTGAGTTTATGTACTCTTAAAAGTTCCGAAAGTACGGGTATAACATACCGGCTATTGATAGTTAAAGTACCGAGTCATTACAGGCATTAAAAAGTAACGAAAATTTATATACAGTTTCATATATCGCCGACTGATTTATGGCTGTGAATCTGATCGTTGATGATAGTTTTAGAAGATTAAGAGAATAAGTAATTTTTTTTGTTTTTTTTAATATTATTTGAATATTCGACTAAAAAATTTACACTATTTGATCACTTAAGTATTGTTACATTTCGTTTATATCACATAATTCAAAAACCAACTTGTTTACAATGAAATAATTGAAATGAAAAAATAAACTCCATGATAGTAATTATATACTTCAAAATCTGAATTATAACTGTTTTATAAACTATTAAGTTTATATTTATATCATGACTTCATATTTAAATATAAGGTTTATATCTGTCGTAACAGTATTTTAAAAATGGGGAGAATTGACTATTGTACAATTCAGTCCATTGGACCATTTAAATCGACACCTTAAAGCGAATTTAAAACAGTCGTATATTCGTGGAATGGAGTATACATTGTTGTTACTCAAATTTCCAACTGTTTCTTACAGTGTGTGGTCCTCTTTACACGGAATTTATAGAACGAATATCATATTAATATAATGTTAAGTCGTTAACAAGGCGTCGTAAATGTTTGTTTTGTAACTTAACACACCGTGTTATTACCGAGTCGTGCTTGATGAAAAATACTAAAATTATTTAAGTATATAACATAACAGATTGAAACTAAAAATATATACTAACAAAGGCTTCGTTTACTGCATCAACAAACTGTTCGTTAGTTAATTTTAGTAATCGCTTGGCGTCTTCAGCTGTAGTGGACCATACGATAGAGCTTTGGGAACTGTTGAGCTGAAAAGAAAAAACAAAATAATATATTTTATTGTAAAATATTTCTTTTAACACTTTCATAAATAAATAAACTTATCTAGACAATCTAGACATAATCATATATCCTGTTCAATTTAAATAAAAGTAGCAAGTTGTTCTTCTACTTTTTTACGATAGTGAATATTTTGGTTTGTAAACACGATCAACAATTTTGAAGCTGCTTGGTTTTCATTAAATTATGGCATAAACTTATTTAACAATTTTACTGCCAATAAAATTCGTGAAAGTAAAGTTTTTGTTGCGCATTTGCCATTAAGTAACGTTACGGACAGTGAAAATGTTAATTGTACATTTTATAAAACATACCGGGAGTAGAGCTAGAGGTCCTGTAGGCAACCAACGTTGCCACGCGATGGAATTGTCAAACTCCTGAAAAATAAGAATCTTTCTTAATGACTGCACTACAGTCGAATAGTCAGACATTCACAAATTAAGCAAATAAATTCAAACAATTTTATTAGACATATATTTTAGCTAAACAAATTAATATCAACTGGTTCTTTACTGCTAAAGTGCTAAAATTATTGTGGCATAAAAGCTCTCAAGGTCAGGATTCAGCACTACACACTGCTAACTCAAATTTGGCATTCTTATGAAAATCCTTGGTCCACAAGTGAGAGATATATCATTGTTTTATCATAAATTAAAAAAAATCAGAGCCAATGTCAGATGAAGCAGGTACTACATGTTTATCGAAGACGTTGTAGACATATTAAAAACTTGCTTGATGCGGTTCTCGATCCTACAAACAAAAATAGTCAACAAGGCTCCGCCACTCGGCCAAACCGCCAAACATATATTTAACAATCATTACCAAAAGTTTGTATATGAAGCGCAACAAACAGATTGCCAGCGTCTCTACCGACCGGATTACAAATCTTATTTACATTCCAACACTAAAAATCGGCGTTCTATAAGTCCACCCAGTTGTTGACAGTTGACATTTCTTTTGAGACATTTTTTCCCTTACATTTAAATACCCATTAGGCGTCAATAACGATAATTTAAGATGCTTTAACACTAGAGATATGGTTCTTATAAATTTCTTTAGCTAAAATATATGCCTATTAAAATTGCTTGAACTTGTGTAGCAACTTTCTAGAAAAATATTCGATACACAATGCTCCAAAACATTGTTTAAATTTTGTGAAGCATTGTCCAAATTAATCTTTGAGAGCTCAACAATCATCTAATATATTCATAAAGTTGTTTATTCAGATTAAATATATACCCACCTCGCAGAACTTGAGCGTAGCTACGACACCGGTGCTGTTGTAATTCCAATTTAAATAGTGTACACCCATTGTCTGTCTAACTTTAGAATTTACACCATCACAGCCAATCTAAAAAAGAGAAAAGTTAGTACTCAAAACATTTAAAAACTTAAAAAAAAATGATATATGCTTATTAAAAAGGTCAAGAAAGTGTCAACAACAGGAAGCACAACGTGATATATGATTCAGGTACCTCTTTACCCTTTGGGGAATCGTCTAAATAGCCGACAAGGAGTAAATTTGAAGTATTTTGTTGATCTATTAGTCTCTATATCGTTGTTTTCATTTTCTACAACTTTCTCCTTTTTAGGCTTCCAATTTCCTACAACTTCTTTAATATTTCTGTGAAGTTCTCTGTCCTTGCGCTCTGATTGTAGTTTGCATAGCCATACTTGCTAGTTTCATTGTTTTGTCGATTTCTTTGTTCAGTTGTTGGCATCTTATTCTGTTTACGTTTTTTTCTTTTCCCTCTTCCATTATGTTTACTATTACATTCATGATCCAGAGCATTTTCTTTTTCGGAGAGTTTGCTTCTTTCTTTCTATCTTAGATTGACCTGCCTATATTATGATAGTCATAAGTTTCTTCATGCATCTTCTATTGTCGCTGGTAAATGGGTCGTCCCTGTTGCATTTGTGCGGAGTTTGGTGTAAACAAATGTCTGGTACTAATGTTTTCTGTCATCATCCGCATCATCTGTTTATTCTATTTTGGCGTTCTATTTTTTGCATCTTTTTTATCTTTATCCTAACTACTATATGATCATGGTCGAAATTAATGTCACAACATGGATAGGTTTTGAAGCTAATGACCCCTTTTTAAATATTCTGTTGATCATAATGTGTTTTAAGAGAATTTACAGGTGCAAACCCTTGATTTTGGCAGTTTAAACAAGGTGTTAGTAATGACATTTTTTTTGGCAGAACTAAATACGAAAGCCACGATCATTTTTACAGCCCAATGCGCACGATTCCACTATGTTGTCGACCTTTTTAACTGCAACTTTTACGTGCCATGATTTCCACCAACCCATATAGCGCACCAAACAGTTTTTCTGCGTGTAATGGTGTCTTAACATACATCCGGGGATGATCTTCACTTTAATTATGGCAGTTTTGCCTACTGACGTAGCCATTGAACTAAAAGTAAGTTTCATCGTTAAATAACATTCATTTATGGAAATCGAAATCAACAGCAATCTTATTTTTGGCTTATTCACCGAATCTAAGACTTTCGTTGTGATCGTGTGGCTTCAATTCTTACACGAGATGGATTTTGTAAGGTCGCAAACCAAGATCTTTTCGCAAAATCTTCCATAAAATGGATGGACACAGCTCCAATTTTTGTGCACGGATTTTCATCTATGCTACGCTCTATAGCAGCAATAACTTCTTTTACACGCATCAGTGGCGCACCCAGGGGGATGTTTGAGGGTTAACCCCCACAGAGCATGTAAAGTAAAAGGAGAGGGTCGAATAACAGATATTTGAATCTTTGGCACTGCTATCTTTAGTACTTTAAATTAAACTAAAACCCAAATTTTAAGGACTCAAAATGGAGGTAGCATAAAAAAATTCGGTGCTCAACCCAACTCCCCTCCCAGGAAAATTCTAGGTGCGCCACTGGTACGCACTGTTCTGATGAGCAAAAAGTTGATAAGCATAGAACCATGATTTTAGAAATGAATTTACACAATTTGGAAGCGTCGTTCAAGCGTCTGTTTATTCATGTTGAAATAGCAAACCAAGCTAAGCATAAATCACTTAAAAGATATCAAAATGGCGTCTATCAAAAAAGTATAGCCAGTTTAAAAATCGCCCTTTATGGACCAGCACTTACTGCTCAGTGGCATTCAGATAATCATAGCATCTTCTGATTACCAGACACTAAGTTTTAATCACGATTTAACAAACATAAATATAAGATGACTGCGATACTTCATTAATAAAGTTTGCATTCGACTAAATTTAGATTTTATTAGCAATTAAAGACTGGAAGTAATAAAAGTGACTTTTATTTACTTTAATATAGTTACGAAATATATTTGGAAATAAACAAACACGTCCTAAATATAAGACACTATATATCAAGCTCATTAAAATATTTATCCAATTTAACGAAAAACGTTATTGAAACAAATATTTTTTTAATTTTACCGAATATAAATATTAACAAAATAAATACACAAAATAACAATAAATATTTACGTAATTTATATAACAAAAAGCAGTATGAACACATTATGTTCTTATTAGTATAGTAAAGACACCGGGCGGTAATCAGCAGGATATGAAATATAAGCCACCAACCGATATTGATAGAGCCAATTCTAATACCAGAATTTTTATTTTTTTCCCTCTCGAAAAGCACAGTCATCATACAAACTGCTAATCAGTCATCACTCGTTCTCCTCTGTCACAAAAACCAACAAACATCTTCAACACTCTCAAACAGCCTCCAAAAAGAAAAACATAACCAGAAAGCTCAACAGAGACAACCCTCCAGGGCGACTCCAGTACGTGCCACACAAAACAGCAAAAACCACAAATCCTGAATAGGATCAAAAGATAATAACCAGGGACAATTATTTTGTCATGTTCTATGCCAATTTTAATAAACACCCCTACTCTTATCCATATATCCCAAATTTAGCCATACGGCTCACACTCCCTCTAAGGGGAAAATTCACTCATCCCAGATACCTAGGTATCAAAAGAATTGAGCTCTGGTGGGACTCTTTACGTGTTATCTAACCCTAGGTGGCTTGGTATGCTGGAGTATCTCCCAAAAATTTTCGTACACATCTGGACGTCACGAGGAGTACAGCTTTTTGCATGGCCTTATAGAGATGTTCATTTAGACCTAGCTGTTTTATGTTCTCTAAGAGGTTTTTTAAGAATAACGCCATTAGTAGATAGAATAACAGGTAGTGTCTGAGTACTTTCCATTCTCCACTGTCTCCTGATTTATATTTCTAAACCTCGCTGCAACAATTCTAACGAATCACAAGTTGGCGATAGCTCGGTGGTGTTAGATTTTAGGATGAATAGGATGAATACAATGGCATTGTAACAGAAAGAAAATATATCAAAAATTAAAGGAACAATAATTTATTCTCACGTCAATATATCTGCTTTTTTGAAAAAAGTCGGTGTGCTTTTTGTTTGTTGAAATCTCCACTTTCTGATGGTGTAAAAAAATATACATTACTATGGTGAATTTTCTCAGAAAATACAAAGAACAAAAAAAACTCGAATTCGAATTTTTTTAATCATTCTATATAATTTTGAGCTATTTATTAAAATTGACACATAACTAAAAAGTAGCAAACCGAATTATACTACTATAATTAACAACCAAATGAGTTAATAAAGTCAATATTTTATAAGACACCTACAAATGACATAAGGAAAGGGTCTGGGCCTTAGAGAAATTCACATCCAATCAAGTTTTCAACAAAATCCAAACAGATCTGAATCCGAAGAAGTCCCCAGGGTTCTACTTAATCACTGCAAGAATTCTAAAAGAACTTTCTAAGAAAAGAGTGCAATATTTAGCATAGATTTTTAACGCAATCCTAAGAACTGGTTACTATCCCTTTTGTGGAAAGTTGCACAGACCATTTTAATACCGAAACTAGGCAAACCTGTAGAAGAAGTTAAGTCCTATAGACCTATCAGTCTACTTTCAGTGATGTCAAAGGTTTTTGAAAAACTACTACTAGACAGATCACAGCCAATTCTCTTACAACAGCAGCTAATACCCAAACACCAGTTTGGATTTAGACAACAGCATGCTACCATTGACCAAATTCACTGAATCTGCAATTCCATAAACAAAGTTTTAGAAGAGAAGAAATACTGTTCTGCAGCCTTTTTGGATATCGCGCAGGCTTTTGATAATGTCTGGCATACTGGCCTGCTATACAAAATAAGACAAGTCCTTCCTCTCAACTACTTTCTAATCCTCAAGTCCTATCTTTCCGACCGGCATTTCCTTGTAAAAGTAAAGGATCAGTGCACTAACTTATATCCAATTAAAGCTGGAGTACCCCAGGGTAGTGTCCTTGGACCTGTTCTTTACCTACTTTACACAGCAGATCTTAAAAGTCAAAGCATCATCACAGCCACATACGCAGACGACACAGCAATCCTTGCGGCTCACTCAAACCCGTATATCGCCTCACAACTGCTCCAGACCAATCTCGACAAAATAAAGATTTAGTTACAAACGAAAGCAAGTCAGTACATATAACGTTCACTAATCGAAAAGGCACATGCCCAACCGTCTCATTAAATAACCAAATACTACAACAAAAGGATGATGTAAAATACTTAGGTATGCACCTAAACCGCAGATTAACGTGGAAGAAACACATATTTACGAAAAGAAAACAGTTGAAACTCAGTAAAATGTACTGGCTAATAGGAAAAAGATCACAACTTGATTTGTACAATAACATCCTAGTATACACGTCAGTGATAAAGTCAATATGGAGCTATGGGATCCAACTGTGGGGATCTGCGTCAAGATCCAATAATGACATACTGGAGAGATTCCAACCGAAGACCTATTATTACAAATGCACCGTGGTACATGCCCAACGAATTCATCAATCGCGATCTTCAGATGAAAATCTGTCAAAGAAGAAATTGCCAGTTACTCCCAAAAATATGACAGACGACTGCAAAACCACCCTAACAGGCTAGCGAATTATGAGACCCCAAGCAAACAGAAGGCTAAAAAGTCTTACTCCAAGCGATCTTCCAACAAGATTTTAAAATTTTAAATTTTTATTATAAATATTATATTAGAGTCACAAATAATTTTGTTACTAAAATTACGATTTAATAGGTTATTGTCACTGGAGAGTCTCCTGCAAGTCTCTTGTAATCTAATTAAACAATTTACTTATTGCAATCCTTATTACAGAATGTAAATAAATGGATGTTAAAAAAATTTTATATAATTTTGAGTTGTTTATTAAAATTGACAACGAAAAAATTGCAAACCGAAATATACTACTATAATTAATAACCAAATAATTTAATAAAGTAAATATTTTATAAGACACCTACAAATAGCATACGTAAAGGGTCTGGGCCCTACTACCTGTTGATTATTTCGTATAAAAATATACGAAAAATTTTGGATGAATTTGTATAACTTTTTTTATTCTAACCATACAGAACCTAAAGCAATTCGTAGATACTAGTTACAGTGATTGTCACCAATACACTGTATTTTTGCTCATTTCCCTGGACCAAATATAAATCCTTCATTAATTCTTCTAATACTAACTTTTCGAAATTAAAAATAAAGTTTATTCGCCACGAATACCTCAAAAAATAACCTTCATTTTTAATTTTGAAAATTCGATCGAGTTATTGTAATTCGACTGGCCCGATTATTCGGAAGATTCCTTCAAAGAAATTTAAAAATAGCCGAAACACGATTTTCTATCCAGCGTGTCTGGATTGTTTAGTTTCTTAGTGACCGTGATACGGGATTGAAGAAAATTTTGAACAACGGTTTTCTTTTAAAAAATATGTTACTGTAAATCAATCACTTAGTAGTACAGGTATGATTTGAGTTTTAAAATATTTTGGTACACTCATTAGCATGGTTTTATTACGATTTACTATTTGTTTTCAAAATAATTAAGTTTAAAAAAGTTTATTGCAAAAATATCACGACAATGGGTTAATATCTATTTTTAAAAAACCGGTGTGAAGGTGCGAAATATATTTACGAATTTAATGTAAGTTTTGCGTTGATTTTAATTTGGAAGGAAAATATTGAAAATAATTTCAATATAGTTGATAATATTCAATACAGTTTCTTAGAAATCTCGTTTTAGAATAAATATATTTGTTATTACATTTGTAGCCCTGCCGTGTATTTTTTTGTAATGGTCTTACCAAAGGATGGTCCATAAATTGCTTTTTTAAACTGTCTGTTATGAACTGGTCGGGTTGTACTGCAGCCAGTTCGTTTATTCTATTCGTTATACGACTGATCCATGATATTTTTTTGCCTTGTATTGTCAAGCAACGTTTTAATTTTACTTATTTCTTTCTTTTCATCGTTTATTTGTTCATCGCTGCTGCTTGTATCCGATTCTAGTGTCATCCCGCGTTTAAAATCCAGTTTTCTGCTCCGTGTGTCAACGTCAACATATATTGTTTCGTATATTGTCATCTTCGTTTTCCTTAATATTTGATTTTTGTTAAGAAATCCTCTATTTAGTGTATGAAATAGTTTTTCTGTACTATCTAGTTTATTGTTGAGATCATCATCGATGCTTCTTCTGTTATTCATTACTATTCCTAGGTATTTGTATATGTGTGTTTGCTTTATTTTTTGTTGATATATCACCACTTCGATTAGATCTTTCGTGCCTTTTTCTTGGTTATTTTCAATATATGTGTCTTCTCTTTATTTACATTAGGTTGTACTTTTTTGCTTCTGAATTCCATCTTTCCGAATTGTACTTCAGTTTTCCTGCTATTTTGGCAAATAATACTATGTCAACTGCAAATACGCATAACAAAAATATAGTCCACAAACTCCAAGCGACTCAGAGAGATATGAAACGGAGAATGATCAACATTAAGCTCACTGATTGGAAGTCCAATGAATAAATAAGCAGACGAACAAAATTTGCAAATATAATTCAAAAGATTGCCATGTTAAAATGGAACGGCACAGGACACATAGGAAGATTGGAAGACAACCGTTGGAAAAAGCGAATTGTTGAATGGCGACCAAGAGCAAACAAGAGAAGTAGAGACAGACCTCAAACCAGATGGACTGATGACATCAAGCGAATGGCTCAACACGAATGGATGCAAAAAACAACAAACAGAAATGAATTTACTCACCCAAGGGAGGCTTACATCCGACGATGGATGGAATAGCTGTTGATGATGATTATGATAATAATTTAGTGTATTCCAGTGAAAATGCAATTTTAATAATTAAAAGTGATTCCACGAACGATTAATTATCAATAGATTTGAACGGACAAAATGTGATTTGGAAACATTTTATGGAACAACGGACTGAAAACAAAAAGCGGTTGGGATGTTCTGAAAATTAAATTTTATTTGTAAGCATTTGTAAATGTAGATAAGAAAAATTAACAGTAAGTTACATAATTTGTTTAGGAATAAGAAAGAGAAATTGGTTTCTAAGACCGACGACAACACGTCTTGCTTCTCTTGCTGAAATTTGTAAATCTTTTACACATTTCGTACAGCTCAAAAAGACAGTCGTTTTCGGTTAAGGCTACCAAAATAGGTGGTGCTTTTTGCAGCTTACATTGGAGAAGAAATAGCAGAACAAATTCGGTGGCTTTCCGTGAATGAGTTTGTATCTATCCGACTGTCTGAAGACGTAGGGCATCCAGAAATAACGTTATAACAGTCTATTGATACCAATCATACATGGGAAGTTTGATGAATTGTACGCAATTACTCTTAGAATCTGTAGGTCTTCTTCTTCTTCTTAAAGTGCCCTCTCCTCAATGGAGGTTGGCTACTACAATTTTAACTCTTCTCTATCTTCAGCTGTTCTTATTAGCTGTTCAAAATTTAGCCCTGTCCATTGTCGGATGTTTCTGAGCCATGATAGTCTTTTCCTTCCTAGGCCTCTCTTTCCCTCGATTTTTCCTTTCACTAGAAGTTGGGCATATTGGTACTTATTATTTTTCAGTATGTGGCCTAGGTATGATGTTTTTCTTACTTTTACTGTGTTAAAAAGTTCTCTTTCCTTGCCTATTCTATGCAGCACTTCTTCGTTTGAGGTATGCGATGTCCATGAAATTTTGAGTATTCTCCGGTAGATCCACATTTCAAAGGCCTCCAATTTATTTACGGTTGATGTTTTAAGGGTCCACGTTTCAACTGCATATAGAAGAGTCGACCAGACGTAGCATTTTGATAAACGTAGTCGAATTTCGAGTTTTATTCGAGAATCACAAAGCAGTTTTTTTATTTTTTCGAAAGATTTTCTAGCCTGTTCTATTCTCGATCTTATTTCTTGATCAGGATTTAGGCTGCTATCGATCCAACATCCCAGGTACTTAAATCTATTGACCTGTTCTAAGATGTGCCCATTTATTGTGCAAGGTTGAGGTACGTTTTGGTTTTTTCGGATTGACATCACTTTGGTTTTTTTAATGTTTATTTTCATACCAAATTGCTCACAGGTCGAGTTGGTCTTGTCGATGAGTCGTTGTAGACCTGAGTCGGAATCCGCAATTAACACTGTATCATCGGCGTATCTGATACTGTTGATATTTACGCCATTCACCTTGACTCCATCCTTGGAATCCTCCAACGCTTCTTTTAATAGAAACTCGGAGTAAAGATTAAACAGCAGAGGCGACAGAACACATCCCTGTCTAACTCCCCTCCTAATTTCTACTTCTGCCGATGTGGAACCTTCGATCCTAACTCTGGCTTTTTGGTTCCAGTACAAGTTTTTTAAGAATTTGATGTCTTTTCCATCTAAACCGACTTCTTGCAAACGTTCTTATAGTATGTCGTGCCTTACTCTATCAAATGCTTTTTCGAAGTCTGTAAAGCATATAAATATATCTTTCTGTTGGTCGTAGCATTTTTGGGCGAGAACTAGTAAACTGAACAGGGCTTCTCTCGTTCCCATGCCGGCTCTGAATCCAAACTGATCGTCTCCGATGATTGTTTCGCACTTTCTATAGATACGATTATGTACGATTTTTAGTAGGACTTTTACAGCATGACTCATAAGGCTTATCAGACGGAACTCATTGCAGTGTTGTGGGTTTGGCTTTTTTGGTAGTCGGATGAATATTGACTCCAGCCAATCTTGGGGTATTTTACCTGTATCATAAATGCGATTGAATAAAAGGACAAATAATTCGATATTTTCTTCGCTGATTAATTTGAGCGTTTCTGGGTCTTCTTCTACATCATCAAAAATCCATCTCCTTCGTGGTCGTCCTCTGCTTCTTGTGCCCTCTTGTTTTGAAAATGTTAATCTCTTCGTGTATTCGTGATCTGACATTCTAACAATATGTCCAGCCCATCTAAGTGTCTACACTTTAACGAATTTCACAATATCTGGATCTGTGTATAACTGATATAGTTCAAAGTTGTACCTTCGACACCATAGCCCATTGTCACTTACGGCCCCAAAAATCTTTCTAAGAATTTTCTTTCAAAAAGAAATCTTTCATAATTTTGAGATAAGCTCTAGATTTTTGACATTATTTCAAAATATATGTAAATCTAAAATAGAAATGAATAAAAAACTTTGATGGTACACCTAGACTTTCATATCATAAACTTTCATGTTTACAACATAGTTAATGTTTTTATTAATAAAATTGTATTAGGTACAACAGTTGTATCTGAAGTGGATTGTAAATAACGTTTAGACGAAAAAAAAACATCTGTCTACACGTATTTTTTATAGTCTGGTAAAGAGAGTTAATTCGATGGGTTTATTGTGTTGATAGCGGATGGTTCATGGTTTAAATTAAAATTGTTGCTTTTTCTATGTAAGCTACTATATTTTTTGGGATTAAACTACAACTAAATATGATGTTTAAAAATAATAATTGTATTTATATGAAATTATTTTAAAACGATAAATGTCATAAAAATTTAAATAGATAATTCAGTATCGTTATTAATTGGATATTTATGACTTATTAATTTTGACAATCGCTACGATCGAATCTTTATTTACAGATATTCCCTTAATTTTTTACTTCTCATTTAATGTAATAATTTATTTTTCATGCAGTTTTTAATTTAAAATGAATTGATCGACGGTAGTGAATCGATGAGAAGAACCGCTTTTTGTGACGCTACTCGTGACAACGCCATCTTGGAGCGCTAGTTCCGTGACGCTCACCTCAGCATTTTACTATAGAGAAAAAGTAATATAACGCCAATATAGAAGCTTCGCTTTAAAAATAATAAATTAAATAATTTTATAATATACAACTGTAACATCTATTTGTAACGTTTAAAACGTTACATTTTTGTTCTTATTAATTTCAAAGTACTTTCCACTATTTTCTGCTCATACTATTTGATTTTCATTGATAATAAGTTCTTTTTCCTATGTTTGTATTCCTATATTTTATTTCAATATTTTCCTATTACAAATAAATCCGCTGATTAATTTCTTAAGTCCCCTTGTAGTCCTACCTTCGCTATTACTTTATCGCACAAGAAACAGAAACCCCACTCCTAAATAATTTACTTCTATGAATCCGACCCGATTTAATTTCTTTTTAAAATAAACCAGCAAACGAGAAGGTATTATTAAAAAAATAAGTCCTCGTGGTCAGAAACTTCCAACGGTCTGGCCACCTTGGTTTTTATTCAAGAGAATTCACCTTGATTTTTATTCAAGAAAATCCACCTTGATTATGATTTAAGAAAATTTACGTTGACATGGATTTTTTGGTCGAAGAATACGAAAATGGAATTGTTTTTTTGGAATAAGAAATCCATCTCGATTTTGAAAGTCCGCATGGCTTTGGATTGGAGAGGGATCCACATGGTTTCGGCTTAGCGGCAT